TCTTCCCAAAACAGAAGCTAGGGCATAGCTAATATAAAATGGATCTATTTATAATACAGAAGCATAGATTAAAGTGAGATTCAAGGGAGTTATGTGTATCATTATTTAAATATGCACACTGCATCCTGCCAAATGGAGTGGCAGCCACTTCGGAAACACTTTTAACATATATTAACATCCTGAAAGTACTATATTAATCAAGTTAATTAATCTTATGCATTATGCCACCTGCTGGTGTCAGAGGAGATGAAATTAGAAGAATAAAAAAAGCACACTATAAAATTAAGTGTGGGGAGAAGTGGGCACGCTAGAAGTGGGGAATATGCTGCAATCGGACCTAGACAGATTACAGGGGTGGGAGGATGTGAACAGGATAGGTTTCAACACTGACAAGTGCAAGGTGATGCACCTGGGGAGGAAGAACCAGCGGCATACCTACAGGCTGGGGAACTCCCTTTTCATCAGTGCAGAGGCAGAAGAGGATCTTGGAGTCATTATTGATGCCAAAATGAACATGGGCTGACAGTGTGGGGATGCAATCAGGAAGGCCAACCGTACCTTGTCATGCATCCAAAGATGCATCTCGAGCAGGTCCAAGGAGGTGATCCTCCCCCTCTATGTGACTCTGGTCAGGCCGCAGCTGGAGTACTGTGTCCAGTTCTGGGCACCGCACTTCAAGAGGGATGTGGGCAACATGGAGAGGGTCTAGAGGAGGACCACCTGCATGATCAGGGCGCAGCAGGGCAGGCCCTACAAGCAGAGGCTACAGGACCTGAACCTGTTCAGCCTCCACAAAAGAAGGCTGAGGGGGGATCTAGTGGCCATTTACAAACCAGTCAGAGGGCACCAGCAGGCATTGGGGGAGTCCCTGTTCCCCCGAGCACTACCAGGAGTGACTAGAAATAACGGTCATAAGCTGGCAGAGGGTAGATTCAGGCTAGATATCAGGAGGCACTATTTCACTGTCAGGGAGGCTAGGAACTGGAATCAATTTCCAAGAGAAGTGGTGTTGGCTCCTACCCTGGGGATCTTTAAGAGGAGGCTGGATGAACACCTTGCTCGTGTTGTTTGACCTCAGTACTCTTTCCTGCCATGGCAGGGGGTTGGACTCGATGATCTGCTCAGGTCCCTTCCAACCCTACCAACTCTGAAACTATGAAATTAGAAAGGATTTGGGACCAGCTCCAGTGAAGGACTTAGGCACCTGAAAGTTAAGCATTATAATACCTAATGTTTAGGAGCCTGGTCTGCAGACTGGCATCCAAACCCCTGAGTTATGCTTGATATGCGGTGGAGGAAAGAGTTAGGCACCTCAAGGTGGAATCCAAAACATAATGCAGATGTCTAGGGCTAGCCAATAGGGATGTGCTAAGAATAAGGGTGAATGAAAGCTGACTGTCTCAGGCATGTCATTCATTGCTGCAGGAAGATGCCTCTGTTTCTTCAAAATTCAGAGCCCTGAGCCTTCCCCTGAAATTAGGAGCCTTCCTTTCCAAGAACTGGGCAGGAGTTGCTCTTTTCTGTTCCTAGAGATTAGAGCATTTACCCAAGAAAAGAGAAATGCAGGTTCAATTCTACCTTCTGTCTCAGGGCACAAAACCACAGCTTCTACTGTCCAGGAGCTTGCTTTAATGGCTAAGCTATAGACTAGGCTGACCGAGGGCAGTCTCTAACCCTCTCCTTGTCGCCATGCCACTGAGCAGAAAAGAATTCAAGGTTCATTAGACAGAAAAATAGCACAAGAGGAAGAACTGCCTGGTATGTTGATCTTTCACGCAACAGAAAGGAGAACTGCATTCCCATCCCTACTCCCAGGATTGCCTGTGTATTTTACATGTAACAGTCATTGGAAAAAATATTGGATACGTGATAGTCTGGTGATTTGAGTATTATTCTTGCAAGTGGGCACTGTGAGTTTGAATCCCCTCAGATCAAGGATGGACCTGAACCTGGGTCTCCCACATCTTGGCAAAGTCCTCCACCCGTTAGATTGTTTTATGATGTAGATGGAAGGGGACTTCTATTTTCTCTTAACCCCAAAACCTTATAAAAGGAAGCAGCAGCTGCCACCACATTTTTCAGTGTGCAGCACATGCGGTCAGACCTAGGCATCTAACTTTTGCCTAGGTCCCACTTAGGTCCCTGAATCCAGCTCTTTGCATCTTGGAATTTGGTGTTCATTATACATTTTCAGAGATGACCAAAATTAATCAGAATCTGTAACAACTGGACTTAAAACTAGATTTAAAAGATATCCAAGTTCGAGAGCTGTTTAATGGATGTAGTGCACCATATTGTAAAGACAGTGGCCATTTGCAAACTCAAAATCCAGACCCATGTTCAGATTTCAAATGGGTTCAAAGTACAAGGTATTGGATGCAGGTGGTTACATCCCCTTCTTTGCTCCTTCCATTTTGCAAACGAATCACAAATTAGATGGAATTGCATGATCCTCTTCCAGCTCCCAGCATATGGACAAAGAAGAGAGCCAGCCGGAGTATACAAGGCAACTTTTGGCTGGCATTTGGGGGCCCCAGCCAATTGGCATAAATCAAAGCAAATTCTATGCTGCTCTAAATTATGTCAAGCCCGGGGGTAAAACAGAACTGGTCGGTAGATCAGTGAGGTACAATGGGCTTCTTTGCCGCTCCATCAGCCTCGCAAATTTTGGGTACAACTAAAAATATGGAGCAAGGCTTGTCTGGTTCCCTCCCCTCATCTTGAATTTTATAGCTATAGTTTGGAATGTATTTCAACTGATCATGAGTGTGAAAACATCAGAAAGTGCACTTTTGATTGATTTAGATGATCAAAGTAATAAAAAGAAGTCTTCTAATCTCACAGGAAGACTATACGGTTCACAAGCCCAGATTCTGCTAGTTGTGTAACTCGGGCAGTCACTTAGGGAAGTGGCAGAAAAATATTAGAATTATGCCAGCAACATGAAGGCAGCTGGAAGTCATTGTTGACCCCATGTGTACAGCTGCCTGAGGTTCCCAGCTGTGTTGTTACACTTCTGGATTCGACAGACTCTGTAAACATGGCATACAATAATGCCACAACTGTAATAATTAAGGCAAATAATAAACCATACATGTAATTTAATTAACTGCTATCAGTGAATTTAATAGCAGAATTTGTTAATTTTTCTTGACTTGACCTCAGTATAATGTAGATTTTAACTCTCACATGTAACCCAATAGTACCATCTGAAACAAAGTTTTACCATCAAGTTCTTCCACACAACTATTCTAGGTAGAGATACTTGTGATGCCTATTGTTAACACTGTCTAACTTTTTCTGCTCCAAGACCCTGTGCCCAGCTGCTTGTAAGTGCCAGACTTCAATTGTGGAGCTAAAATGTTCATGTGGACTGTCTGATTTGGCCCAAATATTTTGAGAAAGTTTCAAATAAAAAATCTCAGTGGGCACATGCTCAGTATAGGCTTGGTAAGGCAAGCCGCTAAATTCTCTGAAGATTCTGTCCGCACTGGGCGTACTCCATCATTTCACAGTTCCTATTGCCAGTCAAGGCTATTCATCCATTTTTCCCTTCAGTTGTCCCTCCTATGGCCAAAGGCTGCTAGGCTCCAGAACTGAGGGCAGATAAACTGTCTCTTTTGTCTTCTCAGTGACCTCTCTACTGGTACTCAGTGAGAAAGAGAAGAAAGCAGCCTAACAAATAAAAAGAGGTGAAGTGAAGGGAGTGAGGCACATGAACCGTGGGGATGATATCTAATGAGCACAGGAATGGCAGGTAGCAAGGACAGGAGCAGGAGAGAAGTATGATGAAAAGCAGAGGTAAAGTGGAAGCAGGAAGAAGTATAAGGGCAAGAATAGAAAAGAAAATATGATGGGGGGAGAAGAGTCAAAGATAAATTGACATAAAATGGGGCACATGGTTTATTGCTACTACAGCACATTTCTGACAGAATCTGGGATTGAACTCAGGATTACAAAACATCAGTTTATTTAGTGGAACTCATGGGCAAAGCATGCATCTCAAACCCCTTTAGAGGCTGGTTCGTATACAGGTACTACATTAGTTCAAGTGGTAAAGGCCTATGTAATAGATCTAAAGGTCAAATCCCCACTGATCATCCAAGTGGCAATCAGAATATTTCTCTGTGATGGAATTTCTGGGGGGGGAGGGGGGTTCAATTTACTTTTATTTTTTAAAAAAACCTTAGAAAGTTACATTAAAAATCTGATATTAAAAGAAGGTTAGAGTTTCAAAAGTTAGCACCCAGTGGTTAGAAACTGGCAAAATTAAGGCACAGATTTCTTAATTTCAGTTTCTCTTTCTTTTGAATCAAAAAAGGATGCCTGTTTTGATAATGGCAGTATAATATTTATTATTATTGGGGTTATTTCTATAACAACGCTCGAGTGTTTCTGGCACTTTAGAGATAAAGAAAAATAAAACAGGTGTAGGCCTGAGAGGCCTTACAGCCTACTGGTCTTATGCTAATAGGAAGTTGTACAGTGAAGTGATTCAGAGCTGTGCTCTAAAAGTTGTACTAGTGAGAGCACTAGGTATAACACAGTGCTCTAAATTCTGGCTCTGATAGCCAGTGGAGCGCTGAAAAGGGAGAGGGGAGAGGAAGGTACCTCTCATGCATAATCAGTGAGTGAAGAGGCATATCATTTATGATTCCAGGAAAGCTGAGGAAACCACACTCAGCAGTAGCACTTGATAAACCTCCTGTACAGACTCACTTCAGTCTTGTTGTACCCACTTCTACAATACCTGTTGTGCCAAGCAGTGCATCTTTGGACAGCCTAAGGTCTGCTTTGCTGCCACTGCTCAAGTTCAGTAACTCTCCTTTATGCTCAGAAACAGCAAAGCACGTAAGTTATTTCCTCTTGTGTGGCTGTTTTCGAGAAAGGGCTTTCTTCCACCTTGACTTCTACAGCTCACCTTCAAAAGGAACCAGAATTTGGCTCTGTGGGTATTTTGTATATATTTTTTTCTGATTTCCTATCTTAACCATTATTACCTTGAGCTCCTTGACTGTAAAACAGCCTATGAGCAGACTCAACGTCCAGAAAGTAGTCCATCCTGGAGAAGTTTTTTTTGCCAATACTTCTTTTCTCTCAAAGTGATGTAATCAGTCAAATTCCTGCAAGGAAAAAGGGACAAACAGATGAATAGACATCAATTTGAGTGAAAAAAATGTGTATGTACTATTTACTTTGGGTTATCATAGTGGATTCGGGGCAAAACATTTTCAAATGGTCATTCTTAAATTTTTTAAATGCCAGCTATTTATTTCAAATTATAGGATTTTTCCTACCCATTTCCCCCCTTGAAAGACACACAAAGCAAATGGAACCAAAGCATACACAAGATTCCTGCCACCATGGCTGTGATCCCATCCACAGCCTTCATCATTTGCATAATGGACTCGTTTCACCCACTTGCTATATTTTATCTTAAGCTCAAGTTGTAAAAACTTCAGGAAAGGGTCTTTCTTATAATATATACCTGTATAGTACCTAGAACAAAACTGGTTCTGACCTAGTTAGGGCCATTAGGAAGGAACTAATATAAATAAAATGCTGGTTATAACATTTATTTTAGAATACTGAAATGTTTCTTCAAATGAGGAAGTAATAGATTTCACTCAGCAGGTATATTATTCCATGTGAAGAAAAAATAATCTTTTTTTTACAGTCTATTGCTTCTATTTTAAGAATGCAGGAAGTAGCAGGACATCACACCATCAGCTTTTAAAACATTTAATAATATCATTAACACAGCACTGAATATTCTTACCACCAATTCTTCATCAAGCTTTTCGTAACAGCATTCTCTTGAATCCACACATCATGTAGACTGAGTAACCATGACATAGAGTTGCTTGTACGATACATATTGACAGGTTAATTATCATGAACCTTTGCCAACTTTCTGTTCCTTTCTGTATTTTCTTCTACTCCACATAACTCTATTGTACATTTACTGTCCAGAATTTCCAGATAACACAGATAATGGCATTTTCCCCTCTGTTACAGCATGCATGTAGAGATGTGCACACAACTGTAAATATCACTAATAAGCTTGCTACGTTACAAAAATAAATCTCCATAGTCCTTCCACTTTCAGAACATGTCTTTTTTATGTGTGTGAAAGAATGAATCACATTTCAAACAATACCACCAGTTAAGGAGGCGGAAGCAGTAAAATCAGAGTTCCAAAGTAAAAAATCTCTTTGCTTGGATCAATTCACAGGAAATCATTTAAATGTACAAGCTTATATGAATAAGAGAACTTTTTAAATTCCTTACTCTATTCCTCCGTCGTAGCACTCTGAATAACAAATGATACTTACTGCAAAATATCAAGAACTGCCCGCCAGTGGTAGAAGCTCCAGTAGTTTCAGGGAGGGCTTCTTTGATCTTACTAAATGTCCCCAGTGTAAGCAAACAATTTTGATTGTTTGATTGGAACTCTGATGAATAATGCATAACGTCAACTGGACTTCCTTTATCTGATAAAAATGGCCAGGAGATGTTGTTACTTAGCAACAGAAGGTGACACTATCATCATCTCCTCTACTCCCCCTCACCCTCCACACTGAAGGATTAAGCCATTGGTTTTAACATGATAAAACTTTCCAAAGAAAAAAAATATCTACCTCAAGTTCCTTTATTAGTTTATTTTTTTATTCAAACTTGCTCACTCTCCCTTTCATAAACTCATAAAACCTCAAGTGGGTTGTAATGATTAACAGAAGCATTTTGTTTTATATAATAATTTACTTTCACTAATTTGAACTATTCCCCAGAAGACCAGTGAGACCAGTATGTATTTCCCCATGCACATAATACCAATAATAATGTCATGAGATGGTTCAGTGATTGCTCCTGTGCCTACCTGATGCTGTTTGCTGGGCAAGGTTGTTTTAATACAGTATAGAAAGGCAATGCAAAATTCACTCCAGTGATGCCACAGCATACACAGATTATCCTGGAGCATTTTGTATGTTTTGTAATTGATTCACTGCTGAACATGTCCTAAAATCTAACATTCTCTAGGAGCCATAATGTTTCTAAAAAGGATACAACATTGTACAAAATATATGATACAGCTTTTCCAGCAGATGTACATTTGTTAAGAGCAAAGGCACTGCATAAAAGAATCTTTAAAAAAATAAAAGCTTATATAGGAGATAGGTACTTACCAATATCACTGACCTCTTTCCATTCTACAGGGGTGAAATAAGCAAAGCAACCAAGTCTGTGAGCCAGAATGAACAGCTTCTAATTTTCACTTCAACCTCAAAATCAAGAGTACTGAGTAGAGAAAGGTGACGGATCTGCTGTTTTATATTATGATGAAATGCAACCTCTTAGCACAGATCTGAGTAGAACTGCTTTTTATATTACATTAGCCTGCTAATTGGAGGAAATCGAAAGGCTTTGTTTTACTGTCTTTTATCTGTTCTCTGTGCTACCCCCTCAATTTAATTTGCATTTAAAATTATTCTTATGTCTCCACTGCTCTTCAAGGTGTGGAGCGTTTTCTAATCACGACTAATGTTCAGTGTGGTTTTGTGCAATGCCACTTTTATTCTGAGCCAGAAAACATGGTGAGTAATTATAATTGCTAGTTATTTTCTAGAATGAAATACTGAGTGGTTGTCTGATGCAGTTTCTGAATTTTCCTCCATTTAGCAATCCACTGTGATAAAACTGTCAAGTCAAAGCTCCAATAAAAACAACAAATCTAACAGCACTGTTTCATGGTCCTCTTAAATTTAATATCCAGATCTACGTGCAATAGAAACAGAATGTTTCTCTACTTAGGTCTCTCCAGTAACATCATGTTTATTCTATTTTTTAAACAGACTTGTGTATTTGACAGACATGTTGTACACCACTTTTTTTTTTTTTTTTTTTTGCAGAATTTCAGGTCACAAAGTTTCATATCCCTCAAGATAATCAAATCTGGGGCTCTAATGATCCCAGAACATGAATGGGAAACTTAACCAATGCAGGGAAGTCTTGGGAACCTTTTGTTACTTCTGATTTTGGAGAGAGAAAAAGGTAACATTTTCAGCCTTCTCCCTTCCTGCTTTTTTGGAGAGTCAAGTCAACTCTGTCCATGTTCACAGATAACCTGTTCGAGACAGCAGGTATAATAAAGCTCTGAAGCTCACTACAAGATAATACCAATACTTAAACCTTGGAAGTCAGAAATGGATTTAGCATTTACTTGGCTAATGAGAATTTTCAATTATATCAAAAAGAATAACTTTCTAGATAGAGTATAAACCCTCATTCTACAGGGTGTAGCTACAAGGTAAAAGCTAATTTTTACAGATGGGAATTAGAAACTAATGTTCCTGATGAGCAGGCTGTTCTGTGCATTTCTACTCCATGGTTTCTAGCATTTTTCTCTGATTGGTATTTGTTACTAATTAGTACTAGAGACAAATGCTTTGACTATGTAGATTGTTGTTTGGAACCAGTATGGAAATTTCTATATTTCACATATGCAGTATGATTCTAAATCTTGGTGAGTAGACACAGGGGGAAACATTATTTCTATTCCTTCTAAAGAAGGATGTTTTGTGGCTTTTTGTGTACTAAATGATGGGGCAGTAACAATGCCACCGCAAGGGCACGTATAGATGCACCCACTGATTGACAAAAGTATGGTCACTCAGATCATCATCTTTGTTCGTGCTGACCAGTATATGAGCACCTAACTCCCTCCTGATAGCTTAGTTCCTCTTAGAAGCTAACTTTAAATTGCAATGCAGCAAGTTCTGACACTTAGAATTGTTCGATTTCCAAGTGGGTAGCAATGAAGAAGGTAATAGTACCTGTCTATCCTGAATCTAGATTATTCACTCTGGGGGAACCCTCAGCTGCCTAGTTATACGTTGGTGTAGTGCTTATATAGAGTAGACTCATAACTTATGTTGAAAGGTGGTAGGCTGATTTCAGAGAGCATTTCAGTGACAGAATGAGAGAACCCAGAAATAGTGGAGAAGCCATTATACAAACTTCTCCATGCAGTTCAACCAGCACACCTGAATGCACTATTATTAATCTTAAAAAATCTACTGTTTCATGTTTGATTTCCCAGCCCCCTGCCCCCTGGAAAAAAACCCAAGATGAAAATAATTGAACACTTGGCATTTACAAAGAAAGAGTAGCCTTATGGTTTTCTAGCAGGCACCAGTTTTTTCTCTATTCTGAACTCTCTATTGAGAACATAACGGTGACTGTAATGACTCAGAGGCTGAAAAAATTCTGCTGCTGACAAACACTAATATTAACCTAAAAGAAAGTGGGAGAGAGAATGTAATGTGTGACTGAAAAAAGTGTAGGCAAGGTGATTATTACAGAGAGTTGTTTCCTGAGGGATACATTCAGAATAAAGGGAAAATATAAAAGTTTAAGCCACTAAGCTGTGAAGAATAGCGTTTTTATCATAATTATTAACTTTGTGCTTAGATGGATTAAAAAGAAAGGACAATTAACAAACAGCAAAGGGAATACATTCTCTGTTTCTGAATCTCTCACACAAGGGAGCAATAAATAAAAGACATAATAAAATATATAGATGTATTCAAGCAGTAGTGTCTTCCAGCACTTTACAAAGATATAAAGCATTAGAGTCCAAATTTGTAGAAATGTCCCCAGATTTTTGGTCACTCCAAGGGTCCAGACTGAGACAATCATGTTTTGAAGTGCCTATCTAAAAACAAAAATACACCAATTTTGTAGACACTTTTGAAACCTCGCCTAAAAAATCAATGCCCAAGAGACATTGGACTGAAGAAGATCTGGGTTTCAATCCTGGTTTCACTGAAGACATTAGGATGTTTGCCAGAGATCTCAGCAGGGACAAGATTTCAGCCTTATAATTTAGTCCTGAATGAAGGAGCTCAGGTTTTCTAATGCAGAATGGAAAGGAACAAAAAAGAGAAAATCCAACGCTCCCATGGAAAGTGACAGTTTTAAAATACAGTAATGAAGCATGGAGGGCACAGAGGCTGGATGCTTTAGAATAAGAGGCTGCTATGATGAATGGCAACCTCATAGACTTATTTTCAGAAGTTGAGGTGGAATAGATGTCTTTTGTGATAAAGCCAAGGGTCTTGGGGAGAGTTCATATGGTGCACACACTGTTAAACAAACTGTTGCCTTATGCAGGTGGAACTCCTCCTGAAATCAACTGGCTCATCACCATAGTCAACATCATCATCATCATCATCATTACAGGGCCATCCTTCTGTGGTCCAGCACCAAGTAACTGTCACTGAGAGCTACAGACTGCAGCTGAAACCCTTGAACCATCTCTTCTTCCTCCCACAAACCCTCTGTAGCTCATTTCCTATGAAGCACTAAAAGAAAAAATTCAGAGGGATCCAAAGGAAAGGGCAGCCTGAGATAGTATTACAAATCCACAGATCCCCATCTCCAGAGGTCATTCTCTTCCAATTACAGGGGCAGACAGAACGATGGGAAGAAGAAATAATAGTTAGAAGAAATAATATGCTCTATTCATGGCTTTATGTCAGCACTGGTGTGTTTACCAAGACAATTACTGATTATTATATCAATAGCTCTTTGTAATGGAGCCAAAAATTAAGCAAAATAGAAATGTATATCACCATATAATATATATAAGGTAGCATATAATATATACTATCTAGATGGAAATATATTATATGATAATTAAATAAAGGTGTTATCAATTGATAATAAATATATACATCTAGATAATATTGTTATAAGTGTATTTATATTTTATATTTATAATTTATATTTTACTTCATATATAAATGGAGCACAGGGTACCTGATGAATGGTGCATGCTGTCTTCTAATGCCATTTGAGTGGTTACCCTGTAAGAAGATCATACCTAAATTTTGCCTCAGTTCCCTGTTGTAAGCAGGCTAGACCATTTTGAAATAACTGATTACATGTGATACAATATAGACATTGCAATCTGGTTAGAACAAAATAAAGGACTTATTACAGTCTGGCTTTAAGCAAAAAAAAGGCATAGCTACAGCGTATTAGTGAAGATACAGAGTACTGTCATCAAAATTTACAGATTACATAAAAAAATTACCTGTTACAATGTAGAGGAAATAAATGTTGCATTTGAATTCTAACAT